GATTTACAGGATTGCTTTTCTAGATTGCAGACTTTTCTATTACGTGTTGTGTAAGACTAAGAATCAAGTCATACGCTATTTCTCTATCTCCGTGAACAACCACAATGAAAGCATTAGTAGGAATCAATTGATTTTTCTACACATTTAAAACCTCTGAGTCTAATATTTATTCAGAGGTAAAAATGGTTTTTGATAGGTTAAAGTCCCATAATTCCCTTACTTTCTTTCAAAGAGAAGAAGAAAAACAGATTAGTGAGTAAACATGTCATTTCACTTTTAAAACTGGCCTACGAAGTTCAGACTGACCAATTAAGAGATAGAAGAAGATAGAAGAAAGGTTTCAGAGAGGAAAGGGATATTGTCAGAGTGGGCCAGTTTCTGCAACATGGAATAAGGGAGAATTCTAGTAGGTGCTCCTGGGGACACAGGTTGGCACTTCTCCCTTCCCACCACTGTGAGGAGGAAGGATTAGATCAAAAGTAGGATGAGCCTCAAGACCTGGGCAAATGTTCAAGTTCTCCATTGGGCATTTGTTCCCACTTCTGAGTTGGGCTAATAACTGTCAAAATGTCAGACCATGTCTACTAACTGGGTAGACAAGCTATTGTGCTCAATGTACCTTTGAAAATAGCTTTGCAGCAATGCTTGTATGTATCCTATATTATTTTTCAGTCAAAGTGTAATGTTTCCTATGCCAAGATAAATCTCAATATATAATTAGTAACTTACCTAACCATAATTCTGATTAGAGATATAATTTCCTTGAAAAAAATATTATTTTACTTCCATTTCTATAGTATATTTAGAAGGCAATTACACATATAGTTCACATTTGCTCCACCCAAAAAAGGATAAAGGTCAAATACTGTTATCCGCATTTTATAGGTATTGGAGAGTTTACAATCCACATGCCAAAGGATATTTAGAATTTAAGAGTTGGAATCTGACCCAAAATCAGATCTCAAAGCTCTACATAGGGAAAATGTCACAGAATAGAGGCGGGGAATTGTGGGGGGAGGCGGGCCGGGGGGCTAGCGCAGAGCGGGAGATAACACCTAAATGATGGTAGAGAGATTTGAGTTTTAATCTTGATACTTAACTACCACTACCTAGTAGGGCAACCTTAAAAAGATCACTGAATTTTCAAAGGCTTCTTTTTTCTCATCTAAAAAAGAAGAAATCTGGACTAGATGTTTTCAGGCATTCATTCAAAAACAGTTATTAAACCCTAGTATGTAGGCACTAGGAGATATAACACTAGGCTTTTTCCCCTAAAATAACTCACAGATTAGTGGACGAGACATACACATGAACAAGACAACCAAGAAACAACGTGATAACAACAAAAGATAACGGCATTGTAAAGAGCAGAGAGGAATAATTTAGCAAGGAATGAGGATAGGGATTTAAATCTGAATTGTCTTAAAGGACGAAAAAAAAATTATTCCGGCAGGTAAAGGACAGAAGGACATTCCAATCAGAGGGAACAGAAAAAACAAAGGCTCAGAGTAGGAAAGCAGCATAGTTTATATAGGGAATTATAAGCAGTTCAGTGCTGCCAAAGTATAATTGGACAGCAAAAGAGAGATGAGGCAAGAGTTGAAAGCAGAGGCCAGATTGAGGAGATCTTCGTGTGATATAGAAGGAGTCTGGACTTTATCCAGTAGGCAATGAAGATCCAGGGCAGGGCTTTCACAGGGAAGCAGCATAGTTAGGACTTAATTTTAGACAGATCACTTTGACAGTCATGTGAAGGAAGAATATGAGTGGTAGAAACTACAGGCAGAGATCTATAGTTAAGAATCTATAGCAGAGATGATGAGGGCTTATTCTAGGGCGATTACAGAGAAGGACGTAAGTTAAAGAAATAAGCAAAACCAGCAGGACTAGAAATGAATTGGGAGTGGGGTGAAGAAGATTTGAAGAAAAAAAAAGGCATGGAAGGCAGGTTTCTGCTCAAGACAGAACTGAGGTAGTGAGACTTACAGGGGGGAAAGTTGACAAAATTATCTTCAGTTCAGCTTAGGATATGCTGACTACAAAAGATTATCTAGGTAGAGATGTCTTGCAGTCAGTTGAATATAGTACCCTAATGCTCAGAAAAGAGGCCTGCCCTGAAGATACATAAGTGTGGGAGCAAGCTGCATACTAGGAGTAACTGAAACCTTAATGTGAATGTGACCATCCAGAGAGAAGGTACATAGTGAGAACAGCCCTTGGCCAGAATCCAGTTAGATATCAAAATGCATGCAATAGGCAAAGGAAGAAAACCAGGAAAGAAAAGCATCCTAGAACACAATGGGAGAGATCATCCCAAAAAGGAAGTAGTAATCAAAAGTATAAAATATATCCCAGATATAAATTCAGGAAAAAAAGAACTGAAAAATGTCTACTAGTCTTAGCAATTAAGGGGTCACTGGAGAACTTACTAAAAAGTGGTTTCAATCAAGTGAATAAGAAAGCAAGTTAGGCTGCAGTGGACTGTAAAGTAGAAACAGCTAGTATAAAGACTTATCTGTTTGGAAATTTTAAATCAGAAGAAAAGGAATTTGAAACTTCATGAAGATTGGAAAGATCAATTCCAAGTCCCTTCTAGTTCTCATACTTTATTTTTTTCATATGGATAAAAAACCTATTTTGGTAAAATTTCATTAACAGCCACAAAGATTTAATTTTTGAAGTACCATTTTTAATTATCAGGAAAAATAGGGGACTCATTGTAGCTATGAATGGAATACATGTGTATATGTAACATTTCCCAAAGTAGCTTCGAAATACCTTGTATTTCTAGTTTCTTTTTTCATATAAGAGTATCTTTTTTCATATACTAAAGTGGGCTAGGACAAAAGGGAAACTATTTGTGGAGTAACCCTCTCTGGCTCCAACTGTTCCTTCTCTTAATATCTCATGAAAACATTCTTTGTTACCCTCTGCCTGGAATATCCTTCACCTCTATTTTAATTTGCTTAATTCCTACTCACTCTTCAAGGGCCTGCTCAAACTCCCCTCAGAATCACAGAATGTTAGAGACAAAAGGGCCTTACAAATTCATTGAATCCAGATGTTCTCACTATGCTGATGTAGGGACTAAAGACCACAGCGTCTCAGAGAATGACCTGCCCAAGATCATACCCATGGCTTTTGGTGGAGCTTAAATTTGAACTATTTCTTCAACCAGGGCCCATTTCACTACACATTATTTCCTCAGATAATTATTATTTATAAAACTTACAATTGCAATACGTCAGGCGTTAAAAATAATCAATTTAAAATAGTTTATTTAGTGTAAGATCCACATTAACACCCTTCCAAAAATTAAGGAGCCGGCCTATAACTTCACTTATTAGTTTGAGTCAACTATCCACAACTACTTGATTATACAAATAAAGATTACAGATGTCGACTAATATTGATTTCATGGATAAGTTGACTGTCAGTCACTAAATAGGTTTTCTCCTCAAGAGTGCAGCATTTATTTCAGCCTCTGCCAGTGGAAGTGTCAGAGCAGATGTTGGCAGACTGTGACATACAGTATGTCTTTAAAACTTGTTGAGGTGTGAAATTTCATAAGGTCAAAGAATGCTGCATTTTGATCAGCAGATACAGGAGTTCTATACTTTATAAATTATTTCAGACAAACCAATAATAGCATTTGCTAGTAAAACAGAAGAAACTAAGAAACCATACTGGCTTTAGGTCAGATATGATAATGTATGTTGCTTATGTTTTAAAAGCCAATTTCTATCACTTTAAAGCAAATGCTTGCACAAAAGATCTTTAGAAAGAAAATGCATTCTTAAAGTCAATACAAAGTACAAGATATTATTTCAATTGACAATAGGATTTTTAAAATAATTTTCTTCTGAAAGAAAGCCATAAATTTGGTGGAGAGAAAAAATTATTTTCTTAATTAATACACAAATACAACAGTATTCTCACTTTTTAAAAAATGAAATTCCCTACGGAACAATCCACTTATATAAACAGAGAATTTTTTTTTTTTAAGTAAGATTTCACAAACTCTTTGGTTTACTGTTTTACCTTTTTGTTTAAAAAAATTGAAAGAAAGTAGCCATAAAAACAACTGGGGCTCTATATAATGATAAAATGACTTTTATAATCTTCAAGGATTTCTATTACCTTGCATTTTCTGATGTTGCTATTTATTATATTTTTAATTTATTTTTTGCTTTAATTTTCTCTCATATCTTTTCTAAATGTGGCTAATAGATAACAACATACAGCCAAAATTAAAATTAAGAATGGTGTCTAGTTAAAGATTTTATCCCAATGGTACAAACTTTATCTCTTACGCAAGTTTGTTTTAAGTTGACATAACTTTTAAAATGCTTTACTCCTAAATTAACACAGAAAACTCCTTTCATTGATTAATCAGTAATTTGAACAATCTGAAAGCCTGGTCATAACAATTATAATCATCATCTTTCAGTTTATTTTGTGCTATGTTCAAGCAAATATACAATTTCTAAATAAGTTTAAATTACAAACATTTTTGTTAGATATTTGTAAGGAAGAAAAATTTACTACAAACATAAAATCTCCCCAGAAAATAATGTCTAACGTAAATCACTTGTTTCTTATCATACAATCAATCAAAAGAGCTAAAATTATGATAGAAAACTTTGATTAGAGATGCACTAAGTACTACAACATCTTACAACGAAGTTCAGTCCAGCAACCAAGTTCAAAGGTCTTTGTTTACACTTTATAGAGAAAAACTTGAGGTATGTATTTGAGGAATTGTTTTTATCACAAAGTTCTAACTATAAAAAATATTAAACTATTTTGCATTATAGAAGACCACATATTATCGATAATCCCTATGCTAAGGAACTGAAATTCTATCCAAGTGGAAAATTTCTCTATTAAATACAAACCTAAACTTTTTCATAGGCTTTTCATATATCCCATGATATGTGACACATAAGGCCATACAAATAAATAAATACAAGGTGAATCAACAGTTATAATTAACTTACTTGCTACTGAAAAGTTGTTGAGGGGATAAGGTAAATCCACATCTTGGGGTTTCTCTTTATATCCTATGAATGAGCCATCTGTCTTCAAAAGGAAATATCTTGGCCTCCAGTTTTTTATATATTCTCCTACATGAGGAAAGCATGCATGTTAATGCTGGGGGAAAAAAGGAACAGCAGCTTTTATGTGAAAAATAAATTATGGTTCAATATAAGTCCTACAACACTGGCCTCCAAAAATTCAGATAGGCAATTTTCTTTTAACTTAGTTTACAAAAGAAAATACATAAGCCTGCAATTAACATTCAATAAAAACCCAAACATGTTTTGTTTTTAATGATTTCACACTTTGATAATTCATTTGCACCATTATTTCTTCAGAGAATCATTCAACTGAGTACACATTTTGTTCAGTTTTTCATATCAGATGGTTGTTAGAGCATATTTTCAGCCGTTTTAAAAAGCCTTGGAAAATAAATCATACACACAGTATCAAGGAATTTCAATGAAAAAACACTTATCATAAGAGGGACATGAAATAGATGTTTCTCTTCCATGTACCACAACTAATTGTGTCATTTTTTTAAAAGAAAGGGAAAAATTCTGTTTTCATTGTTAAATCTTGATCGTAACTTGTTTAAACAACATTTTATTGTTATGCATGAGAAAAAAACTGTACAAATGCTGTAAACAAGTCACAGAAATGAAAGAACATGGGTTAATAGAGCTTAAAAACCATACACACACTCATACACACAAATGTAATAACTAAGAACACATGGTAGTGCCAAGCACATAATAGTCAATAAATGTATATTTTATCAGATTTTGATATAAGCTATCACCTAGTCACCAAAATATAAATTTTTAACAACCGGATCACCATTTGCTTACTTCATACTTCTTTTAAATTTTAAGCAACAGAGGTGTTCCATGATACTCTAAGAGCTGGAAGGCTCCCTGGTCTCAATTTTCAGTTCTCTACTGGATATTTCTACCTGGCTTTTCAATCTCAAGTGCTTAATCACAGCACTACAAAAATTTGAAAGCAGTTCAGCTTTCCCTACAAATCCGTTTCTCTTGACACCAGTTATCGAAGCTCAAACCTAACACCTGACTGTTCCCTCTCCTTATCCTATCAGTACTCTCTCTCTCTCTCTCTCTCTCTCTCTCTCTCTCTCTCTCTCTCTCTCGTTTAGCCAATCCAAACTGCCCTAACACCTTACACCTGCCCTTCTGCTAATGCACTGTGACTGCTCTCCTATTCTACGCATCCCCCTCCTTCCATCTTATACATCTATCACCTCCAGATAATTCTAATGTCTGTTATGTACTGCTTTCATTATACCATTTTGTGCTCAAAAATATTCTGACTCCTGTTTACTGTAAAGTGTCAGTTTCTTAGTATAAAATGTGAGCTCCTCCATAATCTCACCCCGAGCATGTATTTCAGATGTGGAGTCATTCCTCTGAATCAGCAATTCTCCAAATTCTTATCTCAGACCTCTTTACACCCTTAAATACTTTTAATATTTAAATGCACCCAACAAAGTTTGTGTATGTAGATTACATCTATAATGTTTACTGTATTAGAAACTGAAAAGAAAATTTAAATTCTTATTACTTCCTTTAATAGTAACAATAGACTCATTATATGTAACATTAATATTTTTATGAAAATAGTTTTACTTTCTAAAACAAAAAAGTTAGTGTGAAGAGCAGAACTGCTTTACATCTTTGCAAGTCTCTTTAATCTTTGGCTTAACAGAAGACAGCCAGTCTCATACCTGCTTTAACCTGTTACGGTATGTTGTTTTGATTGAAATACAGAAAAAAAAAGTCTGGCTCAAACAGATGTGTAGCTGGAAAAGGACAGAGTATTCAGATAGTTATGGATGTCTTTCTTTGATACTACACCAGCATTTGACAAACAGTCATTTTCTAAAAGGTTAACTACAATGTGGAATTTGAAACCATTATCAATGAACTTTCTGTACTCTGCTATGTGAAGTCCACTGGTCTGTATTTCACACTGAATGAATCTTTTACACTCTGCATGATTTTGTAACATCACTCACTGTTCGTTTAGAAAACACTAGTCCACCAAGTTATACTGGTCTTCCAAATATTGACACAATTCAACATACGATCATATTCATTATCACTACAAATCAAAGCAAGCAGTAGGAAGCTGTGAGGCTCATGATGGCAGATATGTTCTCCAAAATTCTACTCTTTGCTTTAAAACTCAGTTTTAACCATCGGAAGTAAACATTGTCAGTTCTTTTTCCTTAAAGTGATACACTCCAAGTGCCCAACCTAGTGCCTGCCACTTTATCAATGCTCAATAATAACGTACTAAATGAATAAATATGTATATGAATATCTTCCCCACAAGCATATAAGCACACAAGAAGAACTTAAGGGAAAGAAAAGGAAAACCTGACACCCCTCCTCAGTTTAATTTACTTAAAAATATGGCCCTAATATGAATAAACACAGGCCAAATTTATGAAACCAGAATGCTAAGCCCACAGTCCCCATTAAAAAATAAACAGTTCCTTTCTTGATTGTACTTATTGTTTTATTTTTCCATTCATATTTAAGTATTCCTATATAAAATTTAAAATATAAAATGTTCTCTAATTAGTAATATAATATTTAGAGTTCAAATGCTATTTTAAAACAATAACGAATTTATACAGGTACAAAGTGCTATAAGTCTGATAAGCTAAATAATAATGGTTTAATAATTATACCAAAGATAAAATGAAACAAATTCATTTTGAAAATTTTAAAGAAGAAAAAATCGGATAACACCATTTCTTCTCATACATCATTTCTTATTTTTTAAGAGTACTAAATACACTTATTTTAAAAGTGTAGGGCTCCCCTGGTGACGCAGTGGTTGAGAGTCCGCCTGCCGATGCAGGGGACACGGGTTCGTGCCCCAGTCCGGGAGGATCCCACATGCCGCGGAGCGACTGGGCCCGTGAGCCATGGCCGCTGAGCCTGCGCGTCCGGAGCCTGTGCTCCGCAACGGGAGAGGCCACAACAGAGAGAGGTCCGCGTACCGCAAAACAAACAATCAAAAAAATGTGTATAATTGAAAGAAATAAAAGTTTTCATTTCTATGAATAATTTCCTGTCAGCCACTAAGTATTTACATGTGCAGATGAAAGACACAAAACATCACCACAAAATCTTATCTTTTTATTAAACAAATCTTAAGAAATTTAAAGTATTTTATGTGGTTTATAGCAGGATTTCTGGTTACCAAAAAGTTCTTAAAACTAAATTTATTATGCATCCCTGACAGGTAATGCATTATACCCAGACTGTGAGATAGTCATTTACCCAGAAGAAAAGCTGGAAAGTCAAAATTTCCCTTCTTTATTAGATAAAAATAAGTATTTCTCACAACATTTTATTACTAATTTTGAATTGATTCAGTTAATCAACAACTGTACTGTCACGCTAAGCTAATAGTGGATCTCAAACTTTCAATGAAGACTCCTGAAGGTAATTTTTATTTTCTTGTCATTTTTCATCTATAGTATGAATGGACTTTCTGAGAAAGTGCTTGGAGTGCATTCATGTATTTACTCATTTATTCTAGGTGCTAGGAACACAGTTGCAGACTCCCCCCAAAAAATGGTCTCTAACTCATAAAGCTTATGAGTATTACACAAGATTTCAGGTGCCCCCTAAAATTTGCAGAAGGGTTCTGAGTATTCCTGCAAGTGGATCCTTTTTTATAGGTTCCTATAAACATTCTTAACTAAAGCTCATATAATAATAGCATGATGTGTTGGCCTAATTATTCATTTTCTAGTTCCAAAAGTGGAACCGAGGCTCAAAGAAATGGGCCTTATGAGGACACAAACTCATAAGGTATTAATAAAAGAAAAAAGTGAGCTTATTGCCACCTTCCAGACCCAGTACAGAAGAAGGATAATATTCCTAGCTTAAAAGAATAAAAAAAGTTATAGCTTTTCACAACACCTTGGCAAGACACTGTGTTAACTGATGGCAAAGTAGAATTGTTCCTGCAGCCTTGGGGTTCCCAAGAAAACCGGATCTTGTCCAGCTGGTCATGGAACACTTTCTTAATTCACTCAGCTGAGGCAGTGAGAGTTCAAATAAGGCACATCTTCTCAGGCTGCTCTAAAAATATGGCCAAAAAGCCCTGGCTTTTACAGGCGCTAAGTGCCTAGAATAAAGTTACCCTCTCTGCCACAAATCCTTTTAGATAGACTGCTAAAAGTCAACCACATTTTAGTTTTTAAGCATAGCATTTACACCTAAGTTTATACCTGCTGCATTAAAACCAAGCTGCATCATGTTTTTATATTTATAGCCCATAGATTTCAACTAATTTAAGAGACAGCCTGGTTATAATGGGGAGAAAGTCTTGTTAAATAAAGCAGCAGCATTTATGGGGTACCAAGTCCTCTGAAGAGACTGTTCTATGGATACCCATCAATATACATTCGAAATTTGTATGCACTGTCAGCAAGCACCACAGTTACACCTGGACAAGATTTCCATTACAACTTTCTATCTACCTTAATGCGTGCTTCCAATTCTTTCATACTCCTTGGCTGGAGGCTTTATATATTTTGAAGTATGCTATTATGAACATCACAACACATAATTTCTAACAAAGTTTCTGATATTTTGGCTTCTGTAGTAGACTGAATGGCGAACCCAAAATGTATGTATACACCCTAATCCCTGGAAACTGGGAATAACACCTTACATGGCAAAAGGATTTTGAGAAGAGGAGCTTCTCAAAAGAGAAGCTTACCCTGGATTATCTGGGTGAGCCCTAAATCCAATTACAAATATCTATAAAAGTGAAGCAGAAGAAGATTTGACACATAGAGAAAAGGAAGAGGCAATGTGACCATGAAGACAGATATTGGAATGATGCACCACAAGCAAAGGACTATCTGAAGACATCAGAAGCTGTAAGAGGCAAGGATTCTCGTCTGAAGTCTCCACAGGGAGCCTTACACCTGGATTCTAACTTACACCTGCTGCTTACACCTGCTGATACCTTGATTCTAACTTCTGGCCTCCAGAACTGTGAGAGAATAAATGTCTGTTGTTTTAAGCCACCCAAT